GCTCCACTGACGGTGATACCAACCCAAAATCTGTGCCATGCATGCTGAATCCTGAAGATCTCAAAACCGTTACACTTTGGGATTCCAAAGCAGAACTGGACTCCATGAAGAGCCAAGGAAGAATGGGTCTCAAAGTATCTCCAATATGTCCATAATATTACAAAATCTTTCATGCAAACAAGTTTTCCAAACATGCTTTTCTGTTCTAACCCCAAAGGTCCAATTCCAGTCCAAAGAGCTAGGCTGGGAATATATTCCATGCCATCCTTTCCGTCTTCCTGGTTGGCCGATTTTCTGTGATCCCTGCCTTCAACCAAATTTAGAGCTTGCTGGCAAAACAGACGCTGCATGCACACCAACAGGACATAGACTTACTGGTGTGTGAGAGTGTGTGTGTGTGTGTGTTCATGTGCAAGTGTGCATGTCTCTGTTTTGACTGGGGGTGAAAAGGAGGCTATAGAATGTTTTATATTCCAGGAATATCTCCATCACAATCCAGACAGTGAAAAATACCTTTTAATAGGCCATTAAAAACTCACTGAAATTTCAGAAGCCATCAAAATGGTACCTACATAATTTATAGTTTATAATGTACACATTTTACTCTTTTAAATTCCTTTAGTAGTTTCAAAATCCAAAGGATTCTGAAGTATCTTTTAAAAATTACCATTTTAAGACACTTAAAGTAAGCAACTTAGGCTGGGCACAGTGGCTCACGCCTGTAATCCCAGCACTTCGGGAGGCCAAGGTGGGAGAATTGTTGGAACCCAGGAGGTGGAGGTTGCAGTGACCTGAGATCACACCACTGCACTGCAGCCTGAGTGACAGAGTAAGACTCCATCCCCCAAAAACCAACAACAACAAAAAGTAAGCAATTTAGATGCTCACTAAGATGTCATTTTAACATAAATGAGTATAATGCGCCATAGCATGCACAAGTTAGAAGACAAAAAAAAAATTGTGAAAAATATGCTCAAGAAAATATACCACAGAAAATAACCTGGGGAACTATATAATAAATTCTACAATGCCAATAATTAAAGTAGATAAATATCAAACTCTACTATGTTATGTAAAATATGCAGAAGAGCATCTAACATCTATTTTGCAAAGCATTTACACAGCTTACAGAATATTTACAATTCATAATCATCTTTTGTTTTATTTAGAGATGAGGTCTCACTATGTTGTACAGGCTTGACTCAAACTTCTGGCTTCAAGCGATCCTCCCACCTCAGCTATCCAAGTAGATGGGACTACAGGCGTGCACCACCACACCCAGCCATAAGAATTTTTTTTAATAATGCCTCTCCTATTAATGTTAGCCATGATTTGGTACATATAAGCTCCAAAAGCTATAGTCATTTATTCAAGTAAATGACTTTATCAGTCATTGATTAAAATTTAAGTACACCAAGAAAATGAAAATGTATAACAATATATTTCCTCTTAAATGTGAGTAAGCTTAGTACAATCATACTAAGAAAACAAAATAATTTAATTGATAATAATCATGTTTTGGCAAAAAAAAAAAAGTTATCAGTACAATTACTCTATGATCACTAAAAAACTAGGAAAACAAGAGCATAATTAGGAAATCCTTTGTTCCAGGGCACGATGAGATGAACTTGCCTTATAAAGTCATTTATCACAACCCTAAATTGTATAAATGTAATGATAAAAGGTCCATGACCAAGTTTGCACTTGCAAATCATTTCAAGATACACTTCCTTTGTGGAGTGGGGAATAAACTTACATGCCAACAAAATACATGAGATATAGACTAATCTTCAGAAAATGGAGCTAAGTCCATGTGAATGCTAGTAAGACTTTTTTAAACATACAAAAAAATAAGGAAATAACAAATAGTTCCCTTAAATGTTTCAAGACCTTCCTTCACCAAACTTCCACTTAAGACTTTTCTCATACAACTGGAATAGATTTGTAATTTTTTCCCCTTATAATTCTCTTTGATGACATCCAGATTCTAGGATAGCACATTCCGCCAAGCATTTTAAGTGCACATTCATTTTGTTACATTGAAAAAACCCTAAAGGTTCAAATTCTATATAATTAAGTATATTCCTCATCTCATGGTTCAATTAATTTCACACGCCGTAAAGCATATGTGAGTCTCTTCCAGCCACTTCTTATTTCATTTATTTCAACTCCCAGAAAACCAGTTCCTTCTTAACCCACACTTCCAAATCACCCTATTTCCTTATACTTCACTGTTCCCCTATCCCCCTTCTATATATATAGTATATATGACCTATATACAGTATAGATATATATACTTATATATATAATTACTTTTATTTTCATTTTATAGTTGAGAAAGATTATTACTTTTATTTTCATCTTATAGTTGAAAACGTGAGCACTTACTATGTGTCAGGTTCTATTCTAGGCACTGGGGATGAGGCATTGAACAAAACAGATGAAACTTCCTGTTCTTTAGGAGCTTGAATGCTGTCGGGGGTCACGTGACTAGAGTATTTGAGATGGGAATCAAACCAGCTCTTCCTACAGCAGTGTGGGTAAAGCTTCAGAACATTATGTTAAGCAAAGAAGCCAGACAAAAAGACTATATGCTGTCAGATTCCGTTTATATGTAGATCAAGAACCAATCAGTCATCCTAATCAATGGTGATAGAACTCAGAACTGTCACTTCCTTAGCAGGGGACAGTGGATGGCAGTGGACTAGAAGGGTGTACAAAGGAACATTCGAAAATGATGGCAGTGTTCTGTATGTTGATTAGAGTGATGATTACCCAGTTGTAGACATTTGTCAGGATCCATCAAGCTCTACCCTTGAGATCTGTGCATTTTACTACATGTGATTATGGCTTAAAAATATAGTAAAAAGTTTTCAAACTCCTATTCTCACAACCACACTTTCTCTTTATTTATCAAAGGCTTCAACAACCTCTAAAGTATTTTTTTTTTTTTTTTTTTTGTATTTTACAGATGAAAACAGGATCCTGACAGTTCAGCCTGCTCTCTAGCATTCATTAACATGCCACAGTCTATCAGGCAGATGATTTCACTTTTATTTATCACCTTGCACCAAATTCAGCTTTAAATACTTACCCTTTGCTAATTTTTAAATTGTGTTCCCAGCCCTTTTCTCAAGCTTCATTTTATTTTAGTCTCTAGTCTTCCTAACTCTTGCTTCATTTGTCTTAGGTTATGTTCGTATTCTTCCATTTAATATGGACATGTGTGCTTAGTACGGTAATTTGATGTGCAATAAACATTGGTTTATTTAGTTTTCTCCTGTTTTTCACTTCCATTGTGATCTATCGTGTCTTGCTGTTTCTAGTCAGTTGACCACACTTAGTTTCTCCTTCCTGTAATCTGCTGTCCAAGTAAACAACTGCTTCACTTTTATGATTATGAGGTGTTCACTTAAGGTTCTCCCTTACTTCCAAGTTTTGAACTTGCTCTTTCTGATTAGTTTGAAAGAAGACCAGAACACTGCTTTCCTCAATATATACACTTTCTTCTTATAAATGAAAATTTCAGCAAACACTCTGCTTTTAGTAGACTAACTCCTCCACCAGCTGTCCAAACATTTGAAGCTCCTGCTTCTCAACTATGTCTTGCCTTAGTGCTACTATTATTCACAGCTCCCTTCAGGATAAGAGGTCTATAGTATACATCCTCACAAATATACCTTTGGTTTCTCTCTCCAATGGAGAGAGAATATTCAGAAAATCATCATTGGGGGGCCTTCTTAACACTGTTTCCTACTTTTCTATTAAATCCACTTTGTAAAGAAAAAATTACACTGTTTCTTCTTTTTCTATTAAATCCACTTTCTAAAGAGAAAAATTATAATAACATATATTTATTCAAGTATAAATGAGTTCATTATGTTATTATTGACCCTATTTCAATGATATCTATGGGAGTTATATTTCCTTGCTTGTTGTTACTTTTTAAATTATTTATAAGTGTATATATGTGAGAATAAATAGTGGTAAGTTTTAATCTGACACTATTACATTAATAGTATCAAACAAGTTAAATATCGTTTTGAATGATATGGTTTTGATAATACAGCATAAGATTTTGAAGTAATATGAATATAGGAACTTTTATAATACTTTAAATAAAATCTACCATTTTAAGTTAAAATTCAATACAATTATTAATATTCACATAATGAATTCATATATACACATATACATATTATATGTATGCATATATGTAATGTCTTAGCTACATCTCTAATGATTAGAAAGATAGGGGAAAGAATCCATTCTGAGAAAGAAAATGGTGCTATTGGGTGATAAGCAGAGTCCTCAGAGAATAAAACAAAACAGTTCATTTCTGTCTCTATCAATTCATTTATCAATTCCCACCATGTCTGTCTTCAAAGTGCTTTTTTGCCCCTGTTACTTCCCCTAGGGTCCCAGTTCTCATACAAGAAGAGAGGATAGCACTGGGACCTCTAGATTCCTTTTCTTAGCTTGGACTGCAACAACAAAGTATCAGAGACTAGATGGCTTAAACAACAGACACTTATTTTCTCATAGTCCTAGAGGCTGAGAAGTTCAAGATCAGAGCACCAGCATGGCCAGGTTCGTGGTGAAGGCTCTCCTCTTGGCTCACCATATGGCTGGCTGCCTTCTCACTGTATCATCACATAGCAGAGGCGAAAATCTTGTGTCTCTTCCTCTTCTTATAAGGACATGAATCCCATCATGGGGACTCTACCTTCATGATATCATCTGAACCTAATTATCGCCCAATGGGCCCACCTCCTAATACCATTACCTTGGGCGTTAAGGCTTCAACATATGAAACTGGGGAAGACACAAACATTCCTTTTATGATACTCTCCAATTCCTTTAGAAACCTAGAAATAATTCAGCTACAAGACACTACTTTCTCTTACACTGCCACCTCTTAAAGCTCTAGTGTATTGTTATCCTCACCATGCTGGACGTTCTGCAGCTGCTCTGCAAATACACTCCCCATCCCTCCCTACCTTGCTCAGTGCTGCAGAGAGCTAGCCTTGTGGGCTGCGTCCAGAGTGCCCCTGATCTTAGTCTTCTAGCTGGGTCTGGCCAAGTAGAGGCCCTGCAAAAGATCAGAGTAAAGAAGGAGAATGAATCTTAGTTTTTCCTTCAAGGGCCCACCATTATCTGTATCTCTCTTCCAAAGGCCACACTATCAGGTGAATTTTGGGTTCAGGTCACCAGCCCTTACTCTGCCCTTCAGGCCCATGGTTGGTAACTGTCCCCGGCTGGTGCTGGTGCTTCCTCTTACCTGTCCCACATCCTTGAAAATACCCACTCATTGCACTCCCCTCAATGATAACACCCATTTCCATTCAGGACTTTGTCTGTGTACAGAGTCCCTGTCTCCTTTCTCCATATCACCCCAAATCTCCTCCTGTTAGCCCAGTTTATCATGATCCTGTGCCCCAAAGGGGGCAGGGTAAGTGCCAAGCCACAAAGAAGGGTCAAGGGCAGGAACACCCCACACTGCCTCATGAAGGAGTGGCTTGCATGAGTAATAAATTCAAGTCACACAATAAACAGAGATCTATATATGGATGGACGTTATTAAGAGTTAAAAACTGACCATATTTGGCTTGAAAATATGAAAATCTTACCCAAGTTTAAAGCTTTGCCTCTCAGCTGCCAAAACAAACATTGCAGTATACTTACCAACTTCAAGCTCTTATAATGTTAGAATGTAATCACTTCTCTGAAGTTTTACCTGCTATAATTTAGGCATCACTAGGTTTTTCTTTTAACTTGAAAAATTTGCTTTTAAATTGCCTTTATTGTATTGACGAGACAATTAAGAAATGATAAGAATCACTCTGAGGGGGAAATCAAGGGCTCTCGAAGAAGGTTCTGAAAAGCAGGCTTGGTTCAAGTCTCATCTCACTGGAATCATTGAGAAGCATCTTCTGGGATCACTTTCAGAAGCAGAATGCTCTCAGAGACTAAACAGCTGCAGGTTCTGTTTGCTCCCCCATTCCCCCAACTCCAAGAGTTTTAGATAAAATTAGGTTCAAAATTAATATAATGGACAGCATAAAATGGAAAAGTAAGTAACAGAAAAGAAACCTGAGGGGTTGGAAAGTATCCTATCTTGGTCCATAGCAATGTTTTATTTTTATTTTCAATATCCACTGAGTTTGGAAAAACATGCCCCTTTGTAAATTTCTAGGTTGACATATCAAATATCTTCTTCATCACAGTTTAAATAGCTGCACAGACAGAAATTTCCAGAATATTATAAATACTAGCATTACCCTTTTAAGTATAGCCAATAAAATATAAATATTACATCAATATAATGCCATCATCATCTATTTTATAAACATATGAGCAAATATATGATCAACTCTTCAAGTATCAAAAATTTGACTTGGTCCTTTTTATCCTCAAAACAATTATTCTATGTGATTTCTCCTACAAAATCTATAATAGAATATTATTTTAAAGTAATTTTTATTGTACTTTAAGTTCTGGGATACATGTGCAGAACATGCAGGTTTGTTACACAGGTATACATGTGCCATGGTGGTTTGCTGCACTCATCAACCCATCATCTACATTAGGTACTTCTCCTAATGCTATCCCTCCCCTTGTCCCCCACTCTCTAACAGGCCCTGGTGTGTGATGTTCCCCTCCCTGTGTCCATGAATTCTGATTGTTCAATTCCCACTTATGAGTCAGAACATGCGGTGTTTGGTTTTCTGTTCTTGTGTTAGTTTGCTAAGAATTATGGTTTCCAGCTTCATCCATGTCCCTGCAAGGGGCACAAACTCATTATTTTTTATGGTTGCATAGTGTTCCATGGTGTACATGTGCCCCATTTTCTTTATACAGTCTATATTTAATGCTAAAAGTATTTTTGATCACCTTAGCATATTTCTCTGCCACAAAAATATGTCTATAAAATGAAATTAATTTATGCTGCCTATGATAATAACACCTAAGAAATAGATGTTTCCTTCTGGAGTATTGTTTTAATTATTAGTAGTACACAATAATAAATAATAGTAATTACTATTAAAAAGCAGTAATAGTACATTTTATTTATCAATTAAAAATAAATTTTAAACTGTAATTATAGTACATAATTGATCAAGAAATTATAAATAGCTCACAAATTTTGGTGAATAATTGCTAAACATAAAAAGAATAATGTATTGGAAATGTTTATTTTAATGAGCTGGATTAGAGGTAGTGCTCATGTACTTTGATTGAAGAAGATTTTACTGCCAGTCCTATTGTAATTTCTCCTTTCCCCACTCTTCCTCCTGGAGGCTTTTACACTACTGAGTACAGCAGTGTGGTAAGTTCAGGATGGGTTTACATGTCTTTATAATTCTTTATATTTCTGTACAAACTGGGAAAGGAGCAAGTTTTTTTCTTTTTCTTTTTCTTTTTTTTTTTTAAGACAGGTTCTTTTTCTGTCTCCCAGTCTGGAGTCTGCAGCCTTGACCTCCTAGGTTTAAGCCAACCTCCATCCTCCCACCTCAGCTTCCTGGGTACCTGGAAGCACAGGTACACACAACCACGCCCAGCATTTTTGTTGTTGTTGTTGTTTGTTTTGTTTTGTTTTGTTTGGAGAAATGGAGTCTCACTATGTTGTCAGAGCTGGTCTTAAACTCCTGGCTTCAGGCAATCCTCCCACCTTGGCCTCTCAACGTACTAAAATTACAGGCACGAGCCACTGTGCGTAGCAGAAAGGAGCAAATTAAAAAAAAAAAAAAAGGAAAACCAGACACAGATCAGTTAACTGTGATCTGTTAATTGACCAGATAAATTAATTTTGATAAAGAACATATAGGGAAGTCAAACAAATGAAAACTGATTCCCTTAAAACTACGTTCCCTTAAAACTACGTTTCAATAAGATCATATCATTGCAGTCCAGCTTGGGCAACCGAGCCAGATGCTGTCTCAAAAAAACCAAACGAAAACAACAACAACAAAAACAACTACTTTTGCTCATATGCTCCTTGGTTAGCTTCCAAATATCTTCCAATGGAATCTATGTATGTTATTTTATTTGTCCTGTTTGCAGACATGAGAAAAACTCCCCACATAACGCTCTGAAACAGCAGCACACGGCCCCATGCAACACACTCCCCACCACAGGGAATTGTCCAATTCCGTTATCTTAGAGATGCTGTTTCACTTAATCAACAGATTCTGTTAATCTATGAATTAAAAATTCATTCGGTAAAATCTCAATTACTCAAATACTGGTAAAATTTATTCTTTGGCCAGGCGCGGTGGCTCACGCCTGTAATCCTAGTACTTTGGGAGGCCGAGGCGGGCGGATCACGAGGTCAGGAGATGGAGACCATCCTGGCCAACATGGTCTCTACTAAAAACACAAAAACAAAATTAGCCGGGCGAGGTGGCGGGAGCCTGTAGTTCCGGCTACCCTGGAGACTGAGGCAGGAGAATGGCGTGAACCCGGGAGGCGGAGTTTGCAGTGAGCAGAGATCGCGCCACTGCACCCCAGCCTGGGCGATAGAGCAAGACTCTGTCTCAGATTAAAAAAAAAAAAAAAAGGTTTATTCTTTGTCAATATTGCTTCAGTTATTTTCTTTTTAACTTTAAGACAATTTAAATCAGCCCAGCAAAAATGAGCAATTAACTGAATCAGTCAATAAGCCAATCTTTATTGAGCCCAAACTATATATTCAATTTTGTATTAGATCCTGATAAGGTTTCAAAATAAATAAGAGGCATAGACCTTATCTTCTACAGTTTTTCTGGAGAAAAGAGTATCATGCCACCAGAAAAGATATAATTAATAACGCAATACACTGTAAGTTCATTCCCACATGACAAATCCAGGGGAAAGAAATAACTATGGAATATTAAGTATATAAAATGAAGTAAGAATTTTCATAGTGGAGAAAATGTTTTAGGTAAAAACTATTCAACTTTTAGCTTAGACATCTGATGTTGCTTCTTGAATGGCATATATGTTCGCTAACATCTTGTACAAAAATGCAATTTATAATTAGTGATTACAAAAATGTAAATCAATAAAATACCATTTCTCATCCAATAGGATGGCTATAATTTAAAAAACACATCATAACAAATATTGATGGGGACATGGAAAACATGCTAGTGGGAATGTACAATGGTGCAGTCACTTTGGAAAACAGCCTGGCAGTTCCTCAAAAGATTAAACATAGGGTTAACATGATTCACTCCTAGGTATATATCCAAGAGAAATGAAAACAAGTGTGTATTTAAAAACGTATATACAAATGTTCAAAGCAGCATTATTTGTAATAACCCAAAAGTGGAAATAATCAAATTAACTGATGAACAGATAGCATTGCTAAAAAGGAATATTATTCACCAATAAACCTTGGAAACATTAGGCTAAGTGAAAAACATCAGTCACAGAAACCACATATTGTATGAATTCATTTATAGAAAACGCCCAGAATAGGCAAATCTATACAGACAGAAAGTAGCTCAGTGGTTGCCTAGGACAGGAGGAGATGGAAAGCTCGGGTGATGTTAGCTAATAGGTTTGGATTTCTTTTGGGGTAATAAAACTGTTTTAAAATTTATTTTGGTGACTGATGGTTGTACAACTCTGTGAATAGACTAAAACTATATTGTACACTTTAAATTTGTAAATTATATGTTAGATGAATTATAGCTCAATAAAGCTGTTATTTAAAAAAAGAAATATAAATATGTTTAAATATTTTTCTGTATTGATTCCAACTTTCACTTAGTCTATTCTCCTAAATCATTCAAACTGCATACATTTCCTTCTGTGATTTTAGTCTGGCATTTTTTGAGGCATTTCAGAGCTATTTGGGTAGAACCTGCAGCCATGTGGGTGGCTGTTTCCCTGGCTGGAGCTCCAGGGTCAGCCCACTCCCCTTGGAGAGGCATGTGCCACTCCCATGGACTTGGAACACTATCCACCTGTTTTCTCCGGCCCCCCACTTTTCTTTGTTGTTGAAGAACTAGCAAAGTCCTGACTATCCAAGTTTCTCAAATTAATTCAAACTTTCTGGTGTTATCAATCAGAAAATCAATAGGGAAAAATTCTAAACAATAATTG